GATAGTTTCAAATAAATTGTGTATTCGGTAGAAAGTTAATAATAAATATATATTTGTTACATACCAATGAATAAAAGGTTTGTATTTCTGGCGTTTCGTGACTTGATGTAAGTCACTTCTTCAGAGTAAATAAATAACCGAATTAAGTTGACACAAGCTTTGTACCATTTGAACATGTGTTAATATGGTTCAGTCATTTATTTACTTTGAAGAAGTGGCTTATATTCAGTCACGAAACATCGGAAATACAATCTTTCCAGCAATCGGGGTATATCAAAAAATATATCTGTCATTATTTATTTTGAGATTAACATTATGAAATGCTTTTACTTAAACGACTACCAAAAATCGTCATACACTGGGTAGTTGTTTCATTCTACTACAGGACTTATCAGTGACGTGAATTCATCACTTCACAAAAGATAGAATCCAAAATCTTCGTTTGCTTTTTACTACGGTGTAATCACTAAATGGTACAGTCCACACTTATCCCATTCGGCTCTATAACCAGTTTTAACTTATTACATTTTTTTGTTTTGAAAGCATTCAAAATCAATTTTTCCTTACATAGCGACTATTATTTTAAACAGTTCTCAGCTAAACAATTGAAAACACTTATTCAATCTTACAAATATCATTATTTTGCAATGGCTTTCAGAAAAACATTAAGCTGTGACATTTCTATTTTGAACAATAGTTTTTTTTCCTAGTGGCTATGTGTTAATAATTAGAGTAGCTTTGTATTTAAAAGAGTGTGGTTATATTGATAAATGCTCTGTTTTCAACTGTTATTGTCATTCTGATATAATCAACTGAATGAAATTCAGTTATCAATTATGAACATTTGTTTTGTTTTGGTGAAAGTCTGTCAGTATATGAATATAGATCAAGATAAATATTGAATGTATTATTGATAAATTAAAATGTATTTATTATAGCAGATGAGGATATTGATTGTCAACCGATTATTGCTAAATAAGATTCATTGTTTGAGATAATATTGATAACTCTATAAAAGTAATTGGGACATATTAATGTATTCAATAATAGTAATAATAGTAATGATAATAATAATAATAGTGTACAGAATTAACCGAAACTAGTTGGAAATCAATTATCGTTAACAAATAAACTGGAGATTTAAATGTTTTATTCAATGTTACCCAATATAAAGTCACTTTTGCAGTCGATGAAGACACTTTACTACAAATGTAATCCTTGTATATTATTAGAAAATTTAGGGAATAAACAAATCAGGTTAACTTTAAGATACATTTGTTTATTATTTCAATAAGGTAAGTAAAATTGAAATATTTCATCCAGTAGGCTTAAATCATAAACGTAAATTTTAAAAAAAACATTATTTGCCGGATACCATACTTAACAAAGTCGATTACTCTGATCAACACCAAGACGTGATTGAAACTTTGAAATATCAAATAGAAGACTCAAATCGGGACTTTACTAAAACATTCTTTGAAGTAATACAAGTCTCAATATACAGAATACAATGTTCAGTTGCTTAAACGAATATAAAAAGTACCTGTCATGCATGTTACCTTCAAGTATGACTACTAGCTTACGGGTACATCATGGTTTTTTATCAAAAAGAAATAAATCAATGGCATATAGTAAGATACATCTCGACCAATTCATTTATTGGTAGAGAACAAGATAAAACAAATTTCGAATAGCTTTCTAAACTGAAAATTAGGTCTACAAAGAGGGTTTAACCAAAACATCATACAAATTTTATTCTTTGTTTGCATAATAAGCGTATTATTTAATCACTAACTTTTTATTTATATGTCGATCGAATTAATAGTTGCTAATCTACTACTGTGTTAAATGTGCTTTCTATAGCATAATTTTCTTGAGTGAATTATTTACATAAATATCTTATACAAAACATCGTTAATAGGATTAAAATTCTGCTAACGCGAATGATGTTGATTTCTTTCCTTATGTGATAATGTTAGTAATGACTATGAATAATATTTATTCAGTTTATCATAATCCATAAGTAAATTGAATCAAATGATTACCCTTGAAAAATAAAGTTTAAAGTTTCAAATGGAGCATTAGTAAACCTGGAAACGAGAATTAAAATGGTGAGATTTGATAATTTAATCTTAGCGTATCATTATCAGTTGTCAATTTTGAACGTTCTTATTTGAAACGAATGTGTGTGAATCTAATATACTATTTTAACTTTTAGAATTTTAATGATAATGGGGTGCATTTATGTCGACATAAGTAGTATGTAGTCCGAATCAGAAGTGGAATGCTTGGCGGCAAAACAATAAACTGATTTTCCGTACCTGACTTCATTCATTCTGACAGAATGAAATAATTATATTTAAATAGGTTGGTTAAGTAATATCTAGAAAAGCTTAGTTGTACTCACGTTACAATATCTTTTTGTTTTAATGTAATCACTAATCTTAAATCCGTAACACATAGCTTATCTTTCATCCAAATTTAAATTGAAAACATTACAATATTCATGCAACTGTTGACATTTTCCGCTTTCCAATAAACAACAAATCTCTTCATGCTTCAATAGAAATAAAAATTTACATGGTCCACCTATTTTTTGTTTGTTTGTTTGGTTTCACTTCATAGCCCAATGTGATTGCTTCCTATTTTAAAAAGTTTGTAACATTATTATTTCATCATGTCATGTTTTCTATGCATTCTATGAAAAGGTTAACGTTTGTTAATTGGCCTACAGTTAAGAAATTTATTAGTGCGTCGTCAACTGGATTGTAGTTTTCTTTTTTTTTCTTTTTTCTTCAATTTTGCTCCATTTTTTTGTTTCTTAAATTTAAATTGAAAATGTTTATGATGGTTAGTAGTTTATTAGATTAACAGAAATGTCCGTGTATTTTATTAATGAAGAATGTTATGGAATTGATTATATTTGTTTAAAATGTCAAAAATAAAATTTGTTTTTCTATATTCATGGTATAAATGTCATTTGGGTTGTTTATAAAAGAATCTAAAAAATACTGAAAATGTTTTTCTGAAACCACATGCTTGCTTTTTGTTTTTGGTTTGTTTTTTGTTTTGTTTGTTTGATTTACCATTCCCTGATGGAAAAGTAACATCGAGAATATATGAAGTTGTATATTCATAGTTTCTGGTCACCCGTTTATTAAACAATCTGATCTATTATATATAATTGATGAGAGATGGTTTTACTAGGCATCTAGATAAGGTTCCTGTTGGTTTTCAACAACAGATTGTCATAATGTTCCTCTTGAATTGACAAATATAGAGTGAAAATGATCAATTACTTTAATATGGACAATTAAAAAAACTTTATTGTATATAAAAAGTGGCTAGTTCGACTCGTAACCATGTTAACATGTTATGTTACCAATACTTTGTAAAGAATGGTTCAACAGTGGAAAAACAGTCCATCGGAACACAAACTTTTACATGAAGAACCTGAATTAAACTGATTATATGATTTTCATTTAGGTATATATATATATATATATATATATATATATATATATTTATATATATATACGATCCTACCGTGCCAAAGATGAATCAATAGTACTACACCAGCAATGAGTAGTGAATAATGATATGTTTGTCTAGTACCTCAGTGTTGATTAACATCTATCTATCAAGTATCAGGTGTCTTTTCGCCAAAAATAATCCGGATTTAAAAGTATCTGGATAGAGTTGAATAAGTATGTTTTACATCCAATTCAAATAAACGCTTGTAACATTCCATGGGGTTGTGTGTGCTACTGATGTCGACAGACACAAGTAGCATGTATTATCACTCGAAAGTGAAAGGTCTGGATGCAGAAAGTTAGGAAGATCAAACAAAAAAGAACAAGAACAGAAGATAATTGCTGTGGAAATGAAGGAACATTGAAGTCTGAGATGATTGAATGACATTTACAAAAGGAACCGTCAAGTTTCAGACAACTGATTAACATTTTTCAAGTAAAGTATTTACTGTATGATTCTCAGATTTTACTAAGATGTTCTGTAATTTTATATTCAAATACTTTTGATTGACCCCACTTGTGTTCTCGTTCAACACAATATTAAATTTAAATTTCAAAAAAAAATATTTATGGTCAAATATGTCCTTATTTTTTGAGGATTATAATGAAGCATACTGTAGTACACACCAGTACTAAACGTAACAACATGGCATTTATAACTTGCGAACAGACTTTGTATATTATTTAACAGGGAGAAATTTTAACATTTATTTACCACGGTTTCTACCATAAAAATTTTTTTTAGTCATCAATAGTATTATGAAAAAGAACATAATTAAATTAGCACACTTTATGGGTAACCTACTAAGTAAATTATGTTACTACTAGATGACAGTAACTATTAATAGTTTAAAATGCTAATTAGATCCTTTTTAACAACAGATTACTCCAGACCAAGCCAACTAATGGTAGCATATTATGAGAATCACGTAAATTTTAATATAACAATAACATTAATTGTTCTATGCATTTATTAACATAAAACATAACATATATATAACATAATATAATGATGAGTTTTAGTTGGTTTCGTGATGTGTACACTACCTTATTATTATAGGGATAATTAAATGTTTTTAATCTGTTGTTTAAACTTTATCAGTCGAATTTCATTTGTTCTTTGTTTTAATGAAATGTCTTAAAGTTACTGTTCCGTGTACGAAAAGCACTATGATGTTAATGTAGACTGGTATTAAAGACGGTATTTGTTTTCGAAAACTAAATTCTATTTGTGGGCTTATTATGATACAAAAAAGGCAACTGAAATATTGTTGCAATTTATCTTATGCTTAATATATTCTCTTTACTGTACAAGTAAATGTATATTTGTGGAGAAAAACAAAATGCAATAGAAATGTGCTGATAATGACGTGATTATGTAATCAGTTCTATATTTTGACTTCCTTTTAATATTATTCGATAAATATGATTGATCATGGGGTACTTTTTTCCTCTTATAATACACAGATTTTTATTTTCGGAAATTCACACCAAATAAGAGAACAACTAATAATGACAACGTTAACAGAAACAACTTATGCATTTATTAATAATAATCTACAGGATACATCCCAAACTTCAACAGTAAGAAAATATGAATTAATTCAAAATGAAACAAATAAAACTACATGTCATTTTATTAAACAATCATTAAGTAAAGGACCATATTTAAGAAAATTAAATTCAACAAAAGGTTATTTTTCACGTATACGTAATTCACGAAATGACTGTAAAAATGATGGTATACAGTTAACACATATTCGATCGTATACGCCAGATAATAATATGAATACATTTGGAAAGTATTCATTTTCTCAGGATTCATCAATTCCACCAACAGCATCACATTCATCATTATCATCACCATCATCTTCATCTTCACCTCGACAATTGTCACCAATCACAACTCCAAGAGCTCCTTTATTAGGTACAAATTATAAACGAAATTTAAATAAAAATAAAATATTTAAAGATCATTTTGAAACAGACAATATACTAACTCAAAGCACTCATAACTACTGTGACAGATATGGACTGAAAGAACAATCAAAGTCCCGAACACAAGTATATCACTGTGGTAGTACAACTAATAAACTTCATAGTCCACCACTGTCTGGTTTAAAAATGAAAGCAAGACGTGTTTGGAATGTATTTGAGCGTAAAATAAGTAATAACAACAATAAAGGAATAAGTCAAAGTAAATCTGTTGGAAATCTTCAGTATACATCGACATTATCACCTGGTTCTGAGAATTCGATAACTAATCATAATGAAACAGATGTCAGAAGCCAAAAAATAATGCCGTCAAAACATCACATACAAGTAAGTCATATTAGTGCGTTTTTAGTAACTTGTCTAAACCATTGAAAACCAGAAGGGACTAGATAGCTTATTGATTCTAGTGTGTGCGTTCTCGCTATTGTGCAAGCACAACCCTACAGGCAATTAAACCCAAAACTTCTAGGCTTCAAGGTGATTGAACTATCTTTAAACTACTGATCCGATACCCAAATGGTTTATTTATTCAAATTTATTTAATTCAAAATAGCGCGTATTTACTGTTGATGATTATATAATTTAAAACTGGCATGATTTAACGTCACTTGTTAAAATTCAGTGGTTACATATGGAGATCAATAATTTCCGTAACCCCTTCATTTTTGTTTGATGAATAAACCTTCTAATTTTCTTGATATAATTATTTATGAACTTCCAATATCCTGTGCAAAAACTAGCACTAGATGGAGTGGATATCAACTCTGGGATGCAGTTACGTCAAGCTGACGAGTCCCAAATAGGATGAAACGTGCGTCCTGAATTCCACTTCTAGTCACAATCCATCTTTTCTTGTAATAGTTTAATATGGTTTAAATGTTACAACCTGTTCACATCTGTGACGATACACGGTAACCGTAATGAAAAAATACACAAAGCAGGTGATAGACAGCGTATACGTCCTCGACAGTTCGCTTTCAATCTGTACTCTGTATCTCAATACATTGCCACTATATTCGAAAGTAAAACGTTTGAATAAGTCACTTTTTTGCATAACACAATATTTTCCACCTTTTATTTAGACTAAAAATAATACTATTCAAACACTGATTGTTAAAAATCTAAATGGAAGTTAAGCAATTTATAAAGGTGACTCTACAAATGAATAGATTTCTGATTAAGATCATGAATCGATCAACGTTAGACCACCACTGAAAATCTGGAAGCATTGATTAGACGTTAAGAGTTCGCGCACTATAACAAACGTCCTGGGTTCGAATCCCACACGAGTGATACTGAATGCGCACTGCCGAAACAACCGTCCAGTACTTCCAGGTTTTCAATGGTGGTCTAACATTGATTGATTCATGACCTTAATCGAAACTCAACGTTCTCCACAACCCTATACTGAGAATAGATTTTTATTTGTTCAATTAATAATGTTTTGTTTTTACTTTATTTCAATTTCTAAAGTGTTGTTTCTATAGTCTTTTGTTTCATTTATTATTTTAGAATGACCACAGTTCCTCTATAGACCCTAAATCAGATAAAAGAACTACTTTATGTTTTCCACATTCAAAATCACTTGAAATATCAAGACATCTTGATTCCAACAAGAAATTGAACGTATCTCCAGATAATAAACATGTTTGTACAAATATGAAATTACACACAGATAACAATGATAATGAAAAGTATACAGATATAATTTATTCAATGGGCATAATTCCTAGCCAGCCTATTTCACATTGTATTAATTCTTGTTCTAATTCTGATGATTATACATATCGTTTTGTTGAAAATGTTACTGAGAAATTAGCGAATAATTTAATTTCTAAATGTTACAACAATAAACAATGTCAAGAAACCTGCCATCATAATTATTTAACATCAAGTTTAAAAGATCAATCATCATGCACATCAAATTATAAATATGGGGAAAACTGTATTTTCATTTTACCTACTGGATTACCATTTCAAGAAATACGAGAGATTAGTGTTACACGTTCTGAGGCAGGACAACGTTTTGGTATGCGAATTGAGAAATTTGGAAAGGTAATATATAAAACACTATATGCATAGAACTATTCTAGAAGTGATATTACAATATTTTCAGTAAGGCACCGCTGTTAAAATGATGAAAAATTGCATATTCTAACTGAAAGAATACTATCAAATGAAATTATTTAAGTAATAATATGTAGGTGGTAGTTGTAGATTACTTACTTGCGCCTGTTACTCCAAATAGAGCATGGGCTGACGACCAGCACTCTCCAACCCACTCTGTCCCGGGCCTTCCTTTCTAGTTCTATCCAAGTGTTTTTCATTCTTTTGTCTCTTTCTATCTCTCGGCATAATGTGTTCTTGGGTCTTCCTCTCCTCCTTTGGCGTTGAGGATTCCAAGTGAGTTATAGCTGACTGACATTAATTCGAGTACTAATTAAAACAAAGTAGAGCTTAACAACTATTTCTTCCAAGCGTTGAATACCACAGTAATGTAATTTCACTAGCTTTATAATGCTATATTTTCATCGATGCCCATCTCGATATTGATCTACGATAAATTCCCCTTAAAAAATAAACTACTGTTCAGAAGATTCTTTTCAATAGATAACTATGTATTGACATCAGGGAGAAAAGTTATGGGTGTCCGTTGTTGAAGAGTCCCAAACTAGAATGAAACAGCTGTCTACTGCAATTTGGTTTCTATTGACATCTCAACTTATTTTGATCCTTACTGATTACCACATTTGACATTTATAGAACTTTAAGTTTAATTAGTATTATTAGATTATCACTACCGCGTTGGAGTATTGAAAATGGCCTATTTGTATTGGATTTATGATTCATTCGAAGTAAACAAGATCTAGACACTTACAGTTTTAATTACATCTTTGCTTTGTTATACTGAAGTCTATAAACCAGAACAAAACATCTGATACTTAACCTACCTTAAACCTTAACAAGTGGGCATTTCTTGTAAATTACAAATATCAAGTGCAGAATTGACCAGTTAATAAATACATGCACAAACTATACGTGTAAGCGAACCAACTTTTATAACAGAAATTATTTTCTTTTCTGTGTTAAGAGATTAACGGAACTAGATTCAGTTTGGTGAACATAATCAAGTTGATTGAATGTATTGAATAAAAGGTCGTCTGTCTTTTATTAGTTCAACTACATTACTACCCCTTTATTATCTTAAAACAAAATGATAACATTTACAAAAAGGTCAACCTGAATAATCGACAATTTCGAAACTAGTCATCGAAAATATTAATCATTGATATGTTTACATAATAAATAGTTTAAAACAATTTTCATTCTATGTTTCAAAATTGCAAGTAGTTTATGAAACGGTGAGACTATAGTTTATGAACAACCTTTGAGCAAAGTTAAAATAACCTTGGAATGTGCACCTAGTTTCTAAGGTTAAATCATGGTTATAGATTAGTGTGAAGAATTAGGATTTACATTTGAACGTCAGGGTTAGAAAGTGGATGCAATGTCTTTCACAACGAACTGACATCAACTGTAATGCCAAAATGGTATTAAGCTAAGTGAATGAACAATATCTGCTTTCTTAAATCTGATTGATTCGTTCATAAATTATAGTCTCGCCTCATGACAAAATTACTGATCAACTGAAGCTGAAAGTATGAAGCATTAAATACTATATCAGAAAATTTTAAAAGTAAAGGACTCTGTGAATTTCGAAGATTATCTACTTGATTTCTAGTGAGTCTATGACTGTCCACAGATATTCATTTTACATATTAAAAATAAACAAATAAATAAACTTTCCAATATACGTAACTAATCCATAAATTTGGATATTTTATAATTAGTTTTCAGTTGGAAAACTCATGTGTCTGAGTTTTGAGAAAAATGTAAAAATTTCGTCTATATTATTGTCTGAATTACTAAAGTGATCGAACAAACTGTCATCTCACGTCCCATTAAGACACTCTGTTTCTGATTTGATTTGAACAAGTCCATTGGATCATTAAATGCAATGAATATATATATATATATATATATATATATAAAATTCTGCGTGACTGTAAATAATTAAAAATTGTATTAAAATGACAAATCTATACTAAAAGAAATAAGAGTGTATTGTTCTTTCTGTACAATCAGATAAACCCGCTTTTTTCCAGTGCCCATCAATGGTGGTATTTTCATAAATATTGCTAAATGAGTTTAAAAAAAGAGATATCTACCTGAACATTCCAAGAATAGTAAAAGTACTTTTAACAAGACCTATGGAATATGGTAAAATAAAAACTTGTCCATACTTTTATCAAATATATTTTAAACTGTAAGTTATGAGACCTAAACGACTAGTGAATTTTTAGTTTTGGATAATGAATATTAAATGCTACTGTTAACCGTACCTTATATCATCTGCTGAATTCAACCATCAAATAAGAAAAGTTAAATTTTCATTAAATCGTGTTATAATAGCTTATATAATCTTTAAATGAAAAGTGAAACCAATAGCTGACAACGTGAAATCCCTCTATAAACTCCATATATTCAGTCATCAAAAATGCAACAAAACAATACGGATAAATATTTCATAAACCAAATATGAAAAAAATGTAGGTATCAATGTCCAGATTAAACTTAATGGTTTCAAATAAATTGAGCATTCGATAGAAAGTTAATAATTATTATATTTATGTCAATGAGTAGAAAGATTGTAATTTTAATGTTTCGTGACTGAATATAAGCCACTTCTTCAAGGTAAATCAATAACTGAATAATATTAACACAAGTATAAATAGTACAAATCTTATGTTAATATTATTCAGTTATTTATTTGCCTTGAAGAAGTGGCTTATATTCAGTCACGAAACATTAAAATTACAATCTTTCTACTCATTGACATAAATATAATAATTATTAACTTTCTATCGAATGCTCAATTTATTTGAAACCATTAAGTTTAACCTTGACATCGATACCTGCATTTATTATGAATAAATGTATTTTGAATTTTAAAAAATAACATTCTTGCAAAATTTCTACTTCACATTTATTTACCTAATATTTACTTGAAGATCTTCAATGAATCGATAATAATGGGAGAGATAAATCGTAAAGTGAATCTCTTCCAACCACTTTACAGAAAATTACATTTAGTTATTTCTTAAAGATTAGTTCACTTCAATGAATTAACTACATTAGATTTGTTTAATGTCAACACAATCTGTTCAGCAGTTGATTGTATCATCATTGAACATTCTACAAAGCTTCTAGTAATATTAAAATTGTTCTATGAAACATTAAATCGGTAGTTTATGAAGTTTCATATAATGTAACAATTCCTAATAAGTTTTACCTAAATTTCCTTCTAGACTCTTTTAAAACTACTTTTTTTTAAATATTTATTGTTAACACATAAAATACACTTATTTTATTGAATAAACTATGAGACTATAATTTATGGACGACATTTGAACGACGCCAAAGTAACCTTGAGAGTGTCTGTCCACTTACTAGGGCTAAATAAGGGTTATAAAGCAATTTAAAGAATAAGGATTATGATTCACAGTTGATGATTAGGGTTAGGAATTAGATTTACGGTTTTTCATCATGAACTGACATCAGTTAAAATGCCAAAACACTATTTAGCCAAATGGGTGAATGAATTTTGCGCCAAAATCCACGACCTTTTATCCTAAATCTAATTGGTTCGTCCATAAATTATAGTCTCAATGAATAAACTAAGGATTATATTTATCTTACTTTCATTTTTTATAAATAAAAAGTTAATGAAAACTGTCTTTGAAATGCCGTGTACTTAGTTTAGTATTAATCTACATTGAATAATTCCCTTTACATTCGATTAAACATGTGACGTTTAATATCTGAACAGTCAGTTTGTTATGTCAAATATTTTAAAGATAATTTAAACATTGACAGAATTCAATGAATTTGACATGAGCTATTAGAAATTTGAAATATTTAAACTATTTGTTTAAATTAAGTCATGATAATAATTTGATGAATGCATTAGGATCAGTAGTAAGGGATACATGATAGTTTACAGCATATTCGTCAACTTCAATAGTTAGGTAGACAGTGGTTAATCTATTACACATGTTCTAATCTCACTTCATTAAAGTTATTTATGATTATTGTTACTAATATCTCACATATGTAACTCATGTATCCTAATCAAATAAATAAATTGCTATTAAATTTTAATTAATAAGAGACTGATCAAAATCAGTTCTAAGCATCAATAGAAAGATCCAAACAACCCATCTTACAAGATAATGGCTATCTGAACTCAGTAGTTAAGTGAACAAGGCGATAGCATTTAAAGCAAAAGATACAGGATTCGAGTCCCGGATTGAATTTTAACCCAGATGTACGTAAATCTAGCCGGCAAATATTAAATAGTACGAAACGAACGTTCTAAATTCCACTACTAGCCATTATCCATCTCTGTTGAAATTATTATTTCATATAAAATTATAATATTTACAATATTTGTTTTTAATAATTCCATAGGTTATTCACCATAATGTTAATACAGTCAGAATAAACACTGTAATGATGAAAATAGACTGAAAAAGCTTATCATGAAAATAAAAACAACTTTTTTTCCTGTTATTATAGAATAAGCACACGGTAAAGTGTGTTCTCTTTCTTCCTTTCTTTCTAAAGTAGTTTTATTTATTTATTAACATATATCTTCAACCTATTTATTTTATTCATTTAATGGAAGCATTAATGCTCAATTGATTAACTACATTTGTTTTTATCAATGAGATATCTCTTATAATATAAAGAAGAATAAGAATAATTTTAGTAATAAGTCTAGTACATATGAAGTTATTGTTTTCTTGTTATATTACTTGTTCATTGTCTACACTTGACCCATTGATAAATAAAGTATATTCGTGTGAATAAGTTTACTTTATTTGATAAACTTTATTAATATAAGAGTCAGAAATATTGTAGAATAGAAATGAATTCTTTTCATTTAGTTTGTATTTTAAATTTTTCTCATGAAAAACTGACCTTGTAGATGA